CCCCCCCCCCCCCCCCCCCCCCGCAAAGTTAGGGAAATTCTGGAGAGGGAGAAAGTATTGAGACCATAATTTCTTGCTGGCTGAAACTTTTATTTTCTTGCAAGTTTCCTGCTATTGAAAAGATTTGCATTGGATCAAGGTCTTGTTATGCTGGGCAATTAAAAAAAAAAAAAGAATCAGACAAAGGAAAAGAGTTCTTGGCTGTTTTATCCCATTCATGTAGAACAAGCTCCATTAAGTTCAGGGAATTTGTTTTAGATAAACTGGAAGAAGGTTTGCTACCACCTGGGGAGGGGGAAGCGGAGGGAAATAACCTGCCAGATGGGAATGGTGCTGACTGTTGTGCGGACGGCCCATTTCAACTCCGATCTCTGTTCCTTTTTTAAAAAAAACAATATTTTGCATGGCCTTAAGAATCCTGATTTAAGAAATGGGCATGCTCGGAAGCCAAGCTCTCTCTTCGTAAATGGGCATGATCTTGCAATTGGGCAGTGGGATTGTATGCCCAAACAGCCCCCCCCCCCAAATATTGTGGGATTGTCTCCCAAGCTTAAAGGAGTGCCTGCTCCATTTTTTACAGTCTCAAGCTTTTCCCAAAGATTTGAGCAACGGAAGGCATGCGAATTCCTCCTTCCGTGAAACTCCCCAGAATCAAGGGCAAAAATAAAAAGGACAGAATTTTCCATGCTTCCCAAATCACGTTCTATGGGTGGCATTATCTGAATGTTAATTATTTGTTGCAGGGTTGGGTGCAGTTCTGGGACTGATGAGAAGGACATATTTTTTTTAAAACACATTCCTTCCTTTCTCCATTTTCACTGAACACCTCGAGGTGAAAGATGGGAGCGGATCCAAGACCATGTGATCTGCTCCAGAGGTGATTTGGAGAAAGACTAACCAGATGGTATCTCTCTTTCTCTTTCTCTTTTCTTTTAAAAGGAAGCGGAGATTCCCCAAGAGTTAATTGAAAGACTGGCTCACAGCGAGATTCACAACATTCGGGATTTGCAGCGACTCCTGGAAATTGATTCCGTAGGTAAATTATTCCCATGCATTTCTTCCTATATCCTAAAAAAACGGGGTGGCGGGCTAGGGTGGTGGGGAGGGAGCTGACTGTCCCACAGGAGGGACTCAAAAAGAACTGGCTTTGAAAATGCAAAATGCAGGCGTGCCCCTTGGGGAGGGACAGGGAGAAAGAGCGAGAGAAGTCCCCAATGAATTGAGCTGTGCCTTCATTCATTTCTCATTTGGGCAAGGAGGGAGACGTGACCCCGGTCAGTTTTTAGGAGGAGAGGCTGAGTCTGGCTCCCCCCCCAGCCACACGAAAGAGACTGCCCCCTGACCGGGCTGCCCCGTTGTGTGTGGGGTTCCTGTAATTCTTCTTCAGAGGACGTTTGTTAAAATCACACAGCAGCTGAACAGAACTGAAGTATTTTCCGGGCCAAGATAAGGGCTCCTAGTTCATTTTTGCGCTTTTCACTGGCCTTTTTGGCAGGCCGATGCTGGTCATTTATTTAGGAAAAATACAGCCTCCCTTTCTGTTCTGTTGCCTCCACCTGTCCCCTTCCCTCGCCGTTTAGAATTCGGGGATACGCTGCCTCTGACTGTGGAAGTTCCACCATTCTGTGACAGCTGTGCTGTGCATAACTCTGTATTTGACATCCAAATGACTCCAAATGGTTCTTGTTGGTAGTGACACACCTTAGCAGGGAACAGGCTGTATTTTATGAATTGTGATGGATTATTTGCTATGCGTATGTACCTTACCTTTTTACAACGTATTAGCTACCAGTTTGACATTCCTCTGTTGTGTCGTTTTCTTTCTATGGTTTTAAAAACGTTGAACATACACTTGGTTTCCTTTCTTGAACTCATGAGTACAACAGTCCAGCAGGGTAGGCTGTTAACGCTCCCATTTTACAGATGCAGATTGAGGCTGAGCTTGCAGAGAAATTAAAATTAGGGCTTGAAATCTCTGGTGAGTGTTATCGATGAAAAAGAAGTCAAAGGGTTTCTCGCTTTGCCTTTGGGCAAACCTGTTCTTCTTTTTCGTAGGCATAATTAGCCCACAGGTTCTAATGCTTTCCCTGTTCAATGGGGCCGGCTTCTGAGTAAACATGTGTAGAATTGCCTACCGGTTGTTTGATGGATGCCAAGTGTAGGGGTGAAATGTCTTGATCCAGCAAACCTTGCGTTGAAATCGACTCGCGCTGTATCGCCATGGGAAACCTTCCTTGCAGCTTTGCAAGGCGGAATTCACCCTCGATCCTGCAGTTTTGGGAAGAGGAAGTTATTCCATACTGTCTCCCCAAAGTAGCAGGTGACTTTATTCCATTGGGTGTGCATATTTCAAAATAGGAGGGGGCGTTTATTTGGGAACATCGACCCTCTTCTCTGCCGAAAGGGTGGGAATTTCCACATCTGTCCGATTCGGAAAATGGGCAGCGCCATTCCCCGAGCCCATCTTTCAGTGGATCCTTTTTCTTGCCAACCGCTGGAGACAGGCCCTTTAAATGGCAGAATATGACTTTTCTGGTTTGGGGGGTGTCAGAGATCCTCCCTCGCCCCCCTCCGGATCATATCTCTAGCCACAAAGCATTCCCACCGCCTTGCCACTATCTTGCTGCTTTCAAAACCTTCGGTGCGCAGGTGGCTATTCCGAACTCGCTTTATGAATGAAGTCCCGTCTAAACAAGAGGGTGGTGTTTTTGTTTTTGCAAAGCAAAAGGGCAAATAAACTTCTTCCTTTCCGCTTTGGCCAGAAAACCTTCTCCAGCGAGCTACCCAAAAAATCAGCGTGCCCATCTTGTTATTGCCTTTTAATAGCCCAAGGTTATTTTCTGAATCATTAGACTGACAAATGCTTCAAAGGGCAAACGTGCAATTTGCTAACATTTCAGTCCGGCAACGGAGCCATCCTGTTATTAAATTGGATCTCGCAGAGTTTGCCAGAATGGAGGCAAAGTGGATTCGTGATGATCTCCAGCACTGGGGAGGGAAAGCTTTATTTATTTTTGCAGAAATGTGAAAGAAGTAACCGGGCTTTCTTTCCTCCCATCTCTCTCTCTCTCTCTCTCTTTTTACATGAAGGGAAGTTTCTACTCATCTCATATTTTGAGCCAAGAATCTAGCAAGTTGTTGCTTGTGCTGCTAAGAGCAGGGCCATTTCATTTAAACAAAGACAGCATAGTTGTTATGCTTGCTATTATTATTATTTTTTAAAAAAAAAGAAGAAGAAAAATTACAAGGCGCCTTTGAAAGTTTAAACGCTTGATTTCAGCAGACCTGCTTTGGGGGAGGGACTTTAATGTTGTATGCCCAAGGCTCAATCCATCAGGATATTTTGTTCTGCATTTTTTTTTCATTTCAGTGGAATTGCACAAGGTGCAACAGCAGGCAGGCGCACGCTGCCTGGGAGCATTTCTTTTCCTTTTCTTTACAGCCACAGCGAGGGCAGCAGCGGGCAACTGTGCACGCTACACGGTGTGAACTCAACCCCCTGAAAAATCTCATCAGTGGTCCCCGAATGCCTGCAAAAATGGCCACTGGGTTGTCATTTTCCTCTTCCAGCCGAAGGGAGTAATGGTTATGGATCTGTGCACGCCGTTTAATTAATTAAAAAGAAAATCTGCTGGAGTTGCGTTTGTGGGTGTGGGCCCTGTCCCCTTTGGGAGAGTGGTGGCCTTGGCGTGTTATTCAAAGGCCCAGCGGGGCCTCCGTCCTGAAGAAAGTTGGACACTTACTAATCTTAGCAGACCTTGACGAGCTAATCAAGGTCAGATCTGGCTGAAGCTTGGATAGGAGACCACTGGAAATCCTAGGCTAGGTCCCCAAAGAAATCAGTGGCAAATTACTTCTCTCTTGCTGCCAAGAAAAATACATGAACTTACCCTTGACTAGCTCAAAAGGAGACTTTATACAAGAGAAGAGTGTTTGCTCTCCTTTCATAATAGTAGTATGGTGTATTAGATTTATTTTGTTTTTATTTATTTGCTTGCTTGCTTTTTCCATGCAGATCATAGTAATGTACGTAATGCTTATACAGCCCATTCAAGGTGGGCTCTGTGCTAGTCAATTAGGTCCTTCCTTGATGGCCAACCTGGGCTTTGTAACCACCTACCTACCAGACAGTTTGGGTTTCAGCTCCTTCTAACTTTTGCAGAACTGACAAATGCCCATTTGGGAGCTGGGTAAATTAAACTCTTGCTGGCATCTCATTCTCCCAGGTGAATTTCTTGCAGGCAGAATATGTCAACCTTCTCCCCAGATTGCCAGTAGAACGTGCATCCTTCTTAGCTGTGGGGTTTGGTTTGCAATGAGGGGGAGAAATGAGTTTGTATTGGCCAACCATTAATTCTCTTTTTCTACTGTTCTTTCTTCCAAAGGAAGGCATAGAGCTATTCGGTTCAGATGAGTATCAACAGATGACCACTTATCTTGAACACAAAGCTCCATTCTATAGGGAGAATGATGGCTTTAGATTAGGACTATAAACAGGTGGAGTTTCTGGTCTGAGAAGGACTGGACCAGCCCTGCCTTAGGTAGGGCGAGGCAACTGCCAAGGAGCCCAGGATGATGTTGGAGTGCTCTGAATTGATGTACCGTGTGGCCTCCCAGCCCATTGTCCTCATGTAGTAAAGGCCACCTGCATTGCATGGAAGCGCAATTTGGCCATAATGTGAGTATCCACTAGACATGGGCCGGGAGCATTACACCTTCTTGATCCTTTCCTACATTTGGCCAATGACCTTGGGTAAAACTGGAATGGTACCATGCTTATTGTTACGATGCCCTGATAGTGCCATGCTTCTGACAGGATGAGGCATCAGAGGGATGCTTGGGTGTGCCAGATGTCTATGGTGATGAGGATTGGCGATGAGGATTTGTTTGTTGAGCGCATCATTTGGATGGTCAAATATGGTAGTCTTGCATTTTCCTGGGGCCATTAAATGGGATACTTTATCCCCATCAAGCATCCATCCTGGATGGGAGGAATACCCATTTTCTTCCAATGCAGTGAAACTTTGATTTAATTGCTTTGATTATTTGCCATCAAGTCAGGGTTGATATAATCAAGTCCATCCCCCTTGCTGCTGGTTATCCTCTTTCATTTTACAGCAGCCACAGCAGTTCACATTGGTTGTGTCATGACATCGCTTGCATCAGTTTACATCATAAATTGTAGTTGGCATCAGCTGGAGAATGAGGTCATGAAGCAAATCCCATGAATGTAACTTTTGTATTTAACAGACATTCAGGAATAACAGACAGCAATCCCCACCAGTGGTCCATTAAAGTGAGAATTCATTGCCAAACAGAAGGACCAGGATGGGTAAATTTTCTGCATAAATCTGTCCCTAGCAAGCATTCTGTTTTGGTCTTCTCAATAAACTAACTCCCTGGCCTTCATTTAGATGTGTTGGTTCAAAAAAGGATGCCCAATCTTGGTTTATGATGGATTCTGATATTACACTTTCACTGAGTACCCCCAGCAGCCTTTCTGTAAAATCAGAAATCCAAACCAATAGTCTGAATAGTATTAAAAACAAAATTAAAGGGGTCTTTTCTGGTCCGTTCATCTATTTTAATTAAACCAAAAGGACTGGCATGTTTCTTTCCATCTGCAGCTAGCAAGGTAATAGGAAGTCTTACAAGGAGACTTTGCTATCAAAAATATTTAAGCAAGCTGCACAGATACCAGACGTCACTACGTCTACAGTGATGTCAGAACGCAAATGTCGCTGTGAAATACTTGCCTCCTAATGTCTGATGCAAGCACATTTGTACAATGATGTCATTGTGCCTGGGCGTCCCTTGCCCTCCCTGTAAACACCCATGGCTTTAAGTGAAGCTGAGTTTATTTCAATCCTTTAAGTCAAGCTCCATCAAGTCAAGATCTGTGGTTTTCAACATTGTTTTCTGCAGTGTGTTATCTAGAAGCAATTGGTAGGGACTTCAGCAAGAACAAGATTGTCCATTTGGTTGTTGAAGGCTTAGGAGAGGTAACCCCAGTCTAAGACTGGTGTACCCTGACAT